CAGAGACCTGGCACGGCTGCGCTGCGTGCCCCTCCGGAGCCAGGGCTGCTCTCCAGGGCCCTCCCTGCCTCCGTCCCGCGACTAGTGCACCCCTGGCTGCAGGGCTCCGTGCTTTTCCTCACTCTGGTTTCCCTGAGACCCCCACAGTGTCCATATTACCCAGCTGAGACCTCCAAGGGAGTCAAATCTTTCACCCGATGTGGGAAATGGGGCAGGTGGGTCTCCATAACCCACCTCCGTGGGCTCTGCCCTCCTCGTGGGGCCAGTGTTGGCAGGGGGCAAGGGACCCAGCCAGGGGCTACGGCGAGCTGGGATGTACCGGGGGCTGGCTGCTCCTCCTGGGGCTCTGGTGGGGCAACTGCTTTTGCCAGAGGATGCTTTGCCTCTGTAATAGCTTTAAGATCTCGTTATCTCCTTGCTCAGGGATGACAGGGATGAGGAAATGGTTGCTCATACTTGTCCGGGGCTGGAGAAATCTCCTGGGAGTCTCGCGGGCAGAGGAAGTGCCTGGGATAAGGATGCTGTCTGCGAAGCATCGGAGCTGCATTGTTTTCCCCGCTGGTGTGATGGGGGGAGTGTGACAGCCCCATGCTGGGGAGCAGGGACAAGCTCCTGTGTGCAACCTTTGCCATCCTGGGCCAGGGGAAGCCCGGGTGATCGATCCCCGTGGGCTGCTGCACCCAGCTTAGTCCATTAATCCCTTTCTTCTGCCACTGGGGTGCTGCCAGCTCCGAAACAGTTCCTGAGGCTGGATTCAGACAGGTGAGCTCTGTGGCAGGGGGAGGCAGCTCCTCCATGAGGTCTGCAGCATCTCCAGTGCTGCTGACGGTGCTTTTACATTCTCCTGGTGAAGGCATTAAATGGGATGTCCCACAGGCAGCGGGTGCCCTGCAAGATTCCCACAGGTCTCCGTTTGCTGTGACAAACGGGGGGATTTGTGCTGTATGGTGCCCAGGGAGAAGGGTGGCACGCACGAGCTGTCCCCTCCACCCTTCTGCAGCCACCCCAGCTCGTTGTGATGCCTGAGGGCTCAGAGCTGAGCTCAGGGTCAGCTCGTGTCGCGGCCAAGCGGCGCTGCCTGTGCCAGCCGGCATGGCCTGCCCCGTGTTCCTGCTGCCAGCGTCCCCGCCGGGTGGGAGGAAGGCCAGCGGACGGGAGCGGGGAGCGGTGCCAGACGGGTCTGGAAGCAGGTTCAGCGACAAGAGGTTTATCCTGGAAGGAGGAAACAAGAAAACTCCAGATTTGCTATTCCAAAGTCCAGGGCTGCTGCCTGACTGGCTGAGCTGGTGCTGATGCTCAGAGCCCTGGAGGGGTGTGTGTGTGTGTGTTTCCTTTGTGTGAAATTAGAAGCTTAATTTCACTCCCTGACTCAAATTTGGGGCTATCGACCCCCACCCCCTGCATCTTCCTGCAGCCCAGGAGTTTTGGTGCTCATTGCCCCAGCGAAGGTGATATATTTTTTCGCATTCCCTTCTTTCTGTTGAGTGCCTCCCATCACAACTGACCATGTCAGCGTGCCGTTCACTCTGGCTGCCGTCACGGTGCAAACTGGAGCTGAGATGCCCTGACTCATCTTTTGTACAGATGCATTTTCTCTTGCCTGTGGGCAGTGCCCTGGTGAAGGGAAATCACTTTGCCCTGTGCGTTGCTGGATGAGTTTGGTTTTGCAAGACTATAGAGCTGTTTCCAGCCAAGAAAAGAAGGTTTTGGGCAGTGACAAGTGAGGAGCATTTGCAGGAGTTTATTATCACCCTTATTGCATGGGGTACTGGCTCTGATGTGGAGCCGTAGCTGCCTTATAGGAGCAGCAACACCAGCGGCCGGTGGAGTTGCTGCTCCTATAAGGCAGCTCCAGCTCTGAGATTCCCCAAGAAGGTCAGACAGGGAGCAAGGGAGGGGAGGAAATTCCTCCTTTGCTCGTGTTGGGGAGTTATATTTAGCCCTGAGGATATCAGCTTCGCTCAACCCTCACCATGCAGCGTGTGCCGGCGGGGACAAGGGCTGCCCTGGGCACGTGTGGCCAGTGCTTGGTGCTGCCTCTCCCCATCGTTGTTCCTGGGTATGGGGGCGATTTGGCTGAAGACCAGCAGGATGCAGCTGGACACGGGGAGGGCTGGAGGCCGGCAGCAGCTGAGATGGGGCACCTGAACCCTGACTGCATTTTGGGTGCCCGAGCATGGAAGCCAGCCCATGGCGAGGAACAGGAGGTGTGTTTGCGTTGGGATGGGAAGCACTGTGCCTGATCCTGCTGCCTGCAAAACGGCTGGAAGCGGTGCTGTGGAGTGGGGAAGGTTTCCCCCCCACCCCTCCATCCTCTCCTCTCATCTGTCCTCGGTCCTAAGCCAGAGGAGCACTTCTCTCTGGGTCAAAGCAGTCAGGAGCAGGAACAGTCCAGGCTGCTCCTGCTGGGCTGGATGATGCCCCAGGGGATGCTGGTGGGGGGGGTTTCCCCCCAGGCTGCCCAATGCAGGTGTTTCCCCAGAGGAAAGGAGGCTGAGCTGAGAAAGATCTTTGACTCAGGGCCATGTGAGCCCTCCCAGGGGTGACTGTCATCCGCTCATGCTGCCAGGTCACAGCGTGTTTCATGCAGATGTGCGTGGCTCTCCCTGTGTCACCATCACCTCCCTCCCTCTCTCCCCAGGTATGCTGGAGGATGGGAAGAAGTTTGATTCCTCCCGCGACAGGAACAAGCCGTTCAAGTTCGTGATGGGCAAGCAGGAGGTGATCCGCGGCTGGGAGGAAGGAGTCGCTCAGGTGCCTGGTGCTTCTCCGCCTCACAGTGTCCCTTGCAGGGCTGCGCAGAGCCATGCGCCTGGGGAGCTGCAGCGTGGGCAGAAATCACTGTGTGCCGCTCGTTCTCTATTTTATTTTATTTTTTTTATTCCCCTGTGTTTTCCGCCCCTCCGCCCCCTCGGCTCTGGGAGGTGTGGGTGTGAATATCACCTTCTGCATTGCCACCTGCCAGATGGCAGGAATGGAGCAGGGCCGGGTCCCAGGAACACCTACGGCACGTCGGTGACTCAGCGGTGACATTTCTCTACTGAGTCAGCTCTGAACGAACGCGGCGGGGAGCGCTTGGGCCTCCCGCTCTGAGCGGAGATGGCTCCCGGGCTGCAAAGCCCACATGGAGGGAGGGCTGGTGGGCACGGCAGAGCTTCGGCTCCTGCGTGCATGACTGTGGCCAGCTCCGTGTGCTGCTGGGGAGGCAGCACGAGGGTGCCGGTGGCTGTAGGGAATGGCCTGGCATTCCCTGCCTTCACTTGTGTGAAGGACATCTCAAGCCCTGCTCCATTTCCAGTCCGTGCTGCCTGCCTTTCCCTCCTGATGTTCTTCCCATTCCTCTTCTGTCCCCTCTGGTTTGTCCAGCTTGGGTCCTTGCTCTTGCCCCG